GCCTTTGATTGTCCTATGATCCTGACGGCCTTAAAGGGACGGATGAACTAGAAAATACGTACATCAGCGAAGCTAAGCCTTGAAATGAGCTGAACTGTGATAAATGCTCATACAAACGACTTAAAATTGGAAATTTTATATACGAAGAAAAATAAAATAAGATAAAACGGGAGAAAAGAAGAGAGAACGATAAACGATATAAAGAGAGGAAGAGAGTAACAGCAACGAGAGGAAGAGGTGTATACGAAAGGAAAAAGAACAAAATGAAGACCAGAAAAAAAGAACAAAGAAAAAGAAAGAAAAAGCAAAGGAATAAAGGAAGTGAGAAGTAGTGCGCACTATCAAGTCACGACACCCATGCACCAGGAGACAAATAACCCAGACGAAGAATTGAAGCGCCCAATCAACGAGACTGTTCCACCACCGGTTATTAAAGTGCATTCACGTGAACCACTACCGTTGTTCAACACGAATCGAATTATTTAATTTTGAAATGGTATTATTAAGTGTACACATCATTGAATTGAATCTGTCGATTTGATCTTTCAACTGCTGCTCAGCTCGCATTGTTTCATCGTCAACAGTAGTTCTCTTATTATAGTTACGCTTTTCCACATGTTCACTAATGGACCTTGCTCGTGTTGTATTACTACCATCAAATTCGAGAATAAATTGTCTAAATCGAGGTAGGATATACTTTTTATACAGTTTTATTAAAATAATCACGAGCGCACCACCGATAATTAGTAGCAACAGTAATTCAGGCCACGATTTATGCGGATGAGAAGTTCCATAGACATGATTTTCGATTTCCTTTGTTTTTTCAACAACTTCTTTGACGTGGCTGGAATTAGCGAAATTGTTAATAATAAATTCCAATTTATTTTCGAAGCTCTTTAACTGATTATTATGATTTGCCAACGTCTGGATCAAGCCTTGATTTTTATTTTGATTTCGTTGTCATCCTGCATTATTTTTTTCTTGTGCTTCCAGCGCAGCATGGAGTCTGTTCTAATTATTTTATGTCATTAGTTTGCTTCATTTTTCTCACATTCTATTCATCGCCTTTCATGGTTCGAAAGACTAAAATCGAGCTATTAGTAAGATCCCAGGCGAGGAAATGATGGGTAAAAAGACCAGTAGTTTTTCTAGTCGCGATGGTACGTCTTGTCTTGTCTTTTTCTCAAAACGGACTGGTACACGACTAGTCAAAAATCGTTTCTCATCCACAGAACACGTCTTATCTACTCGATTGATGGGTGTCATTTGGTTTGTTATATCCAATCTTTCTTGATAAAAAGACTAGGCACGTTGTATTATCCTGTCGCCCATCCAAAAGGATTCTGAATCGAAAAAGTCAGAACGTTCAGGACGCTGCATATGATGAATTGTACTCTAATGCATTGTTCGAGTCCAGACTAGTCTAAATGATAGAAATATAGGAGTGAAGGTAAGACTTGAAAGTGCATATAATATGTCACTTACCAATCGATTAGCCGATCGAACTATACGATCAAATGATCAATTTCTACATATCAATAAACATTCTACGATACTATTTATAGAATTACATACAGAATTTCTTAAGTTTTTGATATCAATAAATAATAATTAGCTAGATAAAATGAAGTAAGATAAATTTAGAAAATATTGACTTTGTTTTTAGACAAATTTTGTCTAATCGGTGCATAACCATATGTAATCAATTTATATTCAAGAAAAATTATTTTTATTAAATGTAAAAATAAATTAAAAATAAGTTGAAGGTGAGAAAAAAAAAATTCTTTACATCCTAATTCTAGTTTATATTAAATTTCATTTTTCAGAAATGAAATTTCAAAATAAAGTAAATTTTTATAATTTAATTAGTTTTAAAATCTAAATTATTAGGATTTAAATTTAAAATAAAGTATCACATTAATACACAATGTTTAAAAAGTATTCAGATTAAATTATTTCTCATTTATATTCACATCGTAATCATTGTAAAAGGTATAAGTTAGTATCTTCTGCTAAGAAGTAAACAACATACTTTTATATCTCTGTATCTTTCTTTGTGTTATAGTATACCTTTGGACTTTTGGTATAAAAAAACGCATAAAATCTTTACTCTTCGGAGAAGTACCTTGTAGAATATTTTCGTATGAAGTAGACAAAATTGAGAAATTATGCATGAAAACATAGTCAAATGCAGAGAACAAGGTTCTCTTCTTATTTTAATTCAAAACAGAGAAAAACAAGAACAATATTTACCTTCTATATCAAGTGGCATAAACTTGGTAGAAAGAAAAAAAAACACAAAAAGTATAAAAAAATATCGAAAGTAAATACGAAAAGTGCTATTAATTCAGCTTCAGCATATTCTTTCATCAGTACCGTGTGAATAATCTGCACTTCGATATATTTTACTCTCAGTATTTTTTTCTTTCTATCAACTTTATACATATTATCTACATCTATATTGATCGAAACATTATGATGGTTATTAATACTCATAATGGTAGTATAGTAAACCATGTTTTATCATCAATTTTGAAGAGTAAAAAGAATTTTTCCACGACAGTGAATAATTTAAAATATTTGATGTTAGCAAATCTAGATCTGATAGCACTACTAATTTTAAAAGGTCTATTATATTTCATCTCTTTAATAATAATATCTTTTGATTCTTAAATAAAGCTAACAGCCAATTGATTATTGTTTTACCAACTGATTCATATCCTAAATACATATGATTATTCATAAATTGTTCTCAAACACAATAAAGATAAAGATGCCATAAACTTCTCATCTTATATTCTAATTTTTTTCTATTCCAATACGGCTAGTTGAATCAAGTAGTTGTGATAATTTAGTGAAAAAAATAAAACAGGTTTTTTAACAATTTTAGACACATCTAGAGTAGCGTTGACAGTATTTTCTCGTAAATGGACTAGGTATAACACCGTAGAAGACATGGATTAGACCAGTCAGGACATTTTTTTCAGTTAATTCTAATTACATATTAAATTAAGGAGGTCTTCTCAGAAAATCCAATTTTTCGAAGACAAGTTGAGGTTTTATCATAGGAAGGTACGCTGAAGTCTCCTCTTTTAGAATATCTATGGCTTATCGCAAAATGAATTGATTTTGACGAACCTATCATCTAAAACTTGACCACTGCTATCGTATTTTTTGAGAAGTTTTTACAGTTTATTTACAATTTTTTTCGGTTTTCATTTGGCTGCTTTTCCTTTGCATCATCATTTCGTAAAGCTTTTCTTGTATTAATCACTACGAGACTATTAACACTTAATATTAAGATCACATATTTATGGCCTGTCCTGAACGCTTATATATAATTGAGATGATTTCCACAAAAATCGATTTCTAATACTTATTTTCCGTTTTTCTCAAAATCAGTATTTTCGAGCATGTCATTTACGCGTGCAGATTTTTCTTCATGACAGCTTGATATGGAAGTAATAAATTTTTTATTGTATAGTAGACTGGTAGGGCTATATCGTCACAGAACGGGATTTTTGAATTTCTCTTTTGCTGAAATAAAAACCGTAGATCTTTCGTTTTTATCAGTGACTTTTTTGGTCATGAATTAAAGAATTTTTGAAAAAAAGATTTTTAAAAAACAAAGGAAAGAAAATTCAAAAATCGGGTCCTGTCACGACCTAGCGCTAAGGGTACTCTACAACCTAAAAACTGCTCAGACATGTTAGCTTGTATCCTTATTGTGAAAACCTTGCCCGCGTATAGGGTACTTTTGACCAATAAATTGACTATAACTCGCAGATTCGAGGAGATATTTTAACCATAATCTATTCTAGTCAAGACTAACATTCTCTGAAATTTTAATTGAATTTTATCGAAAAATAAAAAAGTTCGTTTTTGAGGGGATTCCGTCAACAAGCGTCTGTTTGTTATTTATATACCCTACACTGATGGCAATCTGTGGCTAGATCGTAGTTTATCATTAGACGCCCGTCGACTGCCGAATATAGTTAGGTACGACGTTCGAATCCACTATTCATCTCTTTTTTTCTCGTTTTTCTGTTTGCCTGACTAGCCTGGACAGATTGCACTGACAAAACGGACTAGACATGATGAATGTTAGCGTATTTTGAACTAGTCCATAAATAGTTGCAGGACATTTTGCATGGAGACGACCAGTCCTGATGGGTATGCTAGATGCTTCAGACTAGATCTCAACAATAGCATAAACACTTTAGACTAATCATGTTGGGCATCCTCAATTATTTTTTGCTTATCTGGGATTTGATTGAGAATTCCATGAGAACAAGGCACAAGCATACCTTGGTAACAGCGCCAAAACATGTGTGTTACTGAAGACAAAAAGCTTCTAGGAAAATAGCCATGGATTAGGTAGATGAAATAACGCTTTAGAGCTATCCAAGAATTAGTCAAGATGCCATGAGAAATCTTCGAATTATACAACCATGAATAAGGATGAGAACAAATATTTATCTGCCATTTATCAGTGCGTAAAAGTACAAGATAAATCAGCGAGACACAGAACGAAGATTCGCATCACATAGCATGAAGTAAGATCTACGGCGACTAACTTTCAATCAAACGGCCGTAAGTGAAAGTGATGACAAATAACTTCCTAGAACACATTGTGCCAGAATGAGAATAAAAAACCTCTGATCAGGTGTAGGTAGAGCGATGTGCGTGTGGTTGTGACTGTGACTGTGAATGATTTATTAACTCAGATCCACGCCCCACTCATACCATCAGTTTGCTTATCGATATTATTCTTTGTAACACAACAAATACAATAACCAGGTCACATTCAATATGCTTCAAATCGTAGAGCAGTCATAATAGGTATGTATCAATCGTTTATTTCTAATTAGATATACACCAGTTCCAGTTCCACACTGGTCAACTGGTATCAGTAAATTGTATCATCCGTATTTCTAATTTGTTCTTGTTTTTCAGATATTCACTTGTTTAACATAAGAGCACTTGTAATTATCAAAGTCATGGCTAAAGAATTATCTAAGAAAGAAACATCAGGAGAACTTATTGATAAACGTTTGTTATTCTGTTTATTAATTGTAATTAGTGTACTAAAAAAAAACATTTTATCTTAGAAATGACCGTACTGAAAGCTAATACAGAGCTTAGCGAACCAGGTCAGTAGAAGCGAGATACATTCATAATGTGAAAAATTTTCTTTATCTTATTTAGAAATACAAAAATTTTATAGTGTATGTATAGAAAAATCTTCAAAAGACTTCTTTTAGTAAAGTCTATGTTATTTCTCTCAAGGATTTCAAGAACGAATGTCCATCAGGCACGATGAACAAAGAGCAGTTCTACAAGTTTTACAAGAGAATTCTGGTTTCGAAAGAGAAAGATCTTAGTTTTGTCGAGTATATCATTGCGTTTCTCATATTTCATCGTGATTACTTATGTTTTTTTCAGTAATATGTTTGCAGTATTCGACCAAAATCATGATGGCTCAATCGCTTTTAGTGAATTTGTATTAACTTTGGCCATGCTAAAAAAGCGTGATTTGAATGGTACACTCAATCTTGGATTCGAAATGTAAGTGTACTTTCGAGTGTCTAGACATAATCAAGACATTGGAGAAGAAAGTTGCTCAAATGAATAAAAACTATCAAACCAAGAAAATCAGAGAAAAACTGCTGAAACACAAAAAATGTTTTCTCACTATGAAAGATTCCTTTCTTCAAAAAGCAGTTGGTCTTTTCATTTCCAACGTTCGAAATGCGTGAATTTTTTAAACTTTGGTTTATTCAACTTTAGGATGGATATATCAGGCGATGGATATATTAGTTACGAAGAGATGGTTGACTTCTTAGAGAAAATAGTAGGTTCTTTCATTTTCTGTTTTTATTCAAATGTTTAATGGAGTGATGATATATTTTTTTCAAGTTGCGACTGACAGATCCTGAAGATAAAAAAGATATGAACTCAAAATTACTTACTATAGGGATCTTCAACATGTTTAATCTGAATAAAAGACAGAACATAAGCAAGAAGCAATTTATAGATGGGTATGAATCAATATTTATCTTTTTATCTTATCAATTATTTTGTTTTAGATGCAAAAATAACCAAAGCATTGCCGAAATATTTGGATTCTCATGAGTTTATTCTGCGATGCAACAAAAAAACTTTTTTGTTTAATATAACGCATAACAAATCGGGATAGAATGTTATTATCTTTTGGTTTTTTTTTCATGTTACAATAAATCACTTTCAAGATTGAAATAAAAAAACCAACTCAACACTTCGAGCAATAATTTATTTTTGTATTTGCTTTTATTTATTCTCTGGCAATATTGATAATTGAACGAATGATTTTAGTATAGGTCATATTGAACTGTTTTGTCTCGTTCAAGGTGCATATGGTAGACCCTGTCGGATTGGTACCAAATCCGGATCTGACCAGCTTCGGCTAAGACTAGAGTCTGAAAATGATCTGTTAATTAGATGCGAGCTCGAAAAAGTTTGTATCTGACGAACCATAGTCGCAAGAAATCTTTACTTTGTAGGGGTGTGGGTGCGAATCTGAGTTGGTATACATCAACCAATACTCATACCTTTAATCGCTATGATAAAGAGAATTTCCCTTATCGATCGATTAATTACAGACATATATTCATATTAAGAAAAGAAAATACGAAGTAGAAATGATAAAAGATAATCTTCCTTTCTTCCTTATGATTCTTTCTTTTTTTAGTACTTGTTTTCATTGAAACAAAAGCAATCATCACTAACAAGAAAAGAATATCATAACCAACCAGAAAAATAGAGAATGATAAAAAAAAGATATAACGATCACTATGAGAAAAACATAATCCCCGACAAGAAAAAAACACTCCAACCACTATAGGAAAAATAATGGTCAGTAACAGAAAAAAACTTCTCTTAAAACCCTTGACCTTCTCGACGACGGTGAGAACCTACAAAGGATGTGGTTGTGGATGAAGCAAAAAATCACGTCCACACCCACACCCACACCCTTATTATTTCTGACTTTTCTTTCTCTCTTATATAAGTGTGTATTGGATGTCAGATACAACATTTTCAGAATATGAATTCCTTTGAACTAAAAATCTTATGTTTACTTATTCCATACGAGAAATATCGAAAGATAAAATGAATATTTTGAAATTATGTATAGAACATTTAATTTGTTTGAAAAATAGTGTAACGATAAAATTCTTCTTTTTCTTCAAGGAAAATAATCACTAATGGATTCATCTACAAAAAATCATTTACAGTTCGAAACAAGGAGACTTCTTCTTTTCTTTGAAAATAAATAAGCACATTTTTTTGAGAAATACTAAGTAAAAAAATCATTTCTCCTTTGCTTTATATACGCAGTTGTTTAAACAATTTTTATTACCATAAACTCGTCTCAGAAAAATCTAAATGAATACTTTTAACAGGTCTCCGTCTCACGAAAACAAATTTAGTTAAATGTTCTTGAGAACGAGGAATCTAGTTTGTTCACACATTAGGCCAGTTTATTTGATATTTTTATTTTTTCTTTATAATAAATCACATAAATCCTACTGCTTCCTTCAGGAACACAAATGCGAATCAAGAGTATTAAAATCTTGACGAATACCAACAAATGGATGTATCTATCGGATTTCGATTTTATTTTTAGAGAGATATGAGTCCAGTGATTCATCTACTGGGTGGGCTGGGTGTGGAAGTGTACAAGAGGTCCACTACCCACCCACCCACAGCCTCAATTTAGAATTGTACACTAATTATAAGAGCCTTGAAGCTTTCGATCATTTTATGATGTCTTCGATTGTATAGAATATTAAGAAAGATCATTAATATTACGATACTACCTTTCTGTCATATGATATGTGTAAAATTTATAATTATAACTCAAAGTGGGTGATGCATAAATAATGTGACACTTTCGTAAAACAAAAGTTCTGCGTCTCTATTAAAAAACTAAAAAGACACAATGTTTGTTTCAAAAAGTATAAAAGAACCGAATCAATTCCGAACTCTGAACATATGTGAGTATTAAAGAAGACTAGTGAACTAACAAATCAGTGGAATGCATGAAGAGCAAAATTTGATATAAAGTCATCTACAGATATACTTAGTATATTCACTCGAAGTAACAACTAACACCGTTTATCAACAAGACGACAAAAGCATAGTGCAGTTTTAAAATTCACCTCTCTGTGTAATTTTAATACTATTCCACACAGAACTGGATTCTACAAATTTAAAATAGTAAGTTTTTTTTAGAGAATTAAAGTGTAACGAATGAGCTCTCCTGAACATTTTCAACGTTTACATAAGGTAACAAAAAGTTAATGAGAAAAGCGCCTCATTGTTTGTGTCAACTGTTGTACTATTTTTTTTTCAAATATTACAATTTTTAAAGCATTTATTTATGAAAAATGTTTGTATATAAACTTTCATAACGTGTTTATCAAAGTCCTAAATATTTTAGACTATACACAAATGTTTTGACGACTAATGATTATATTAAAATGGATCAATATTTTCATCTATTATTATTCTGAGAGTTATAGTAGGAAGATATCATTAATTATCATTTTAGAATTTTTTGTTAGAGACTTATTCGTACAGATCTCTGTCTATTGTATGTAAGATAATTAAGAGAACAGACAATTATGGGAATAGACAATTGTGTGCAAGAGAATTGTGAGAACAGGCAATCATTTCGTGACAGATTATATGCGAAACCTGGAAGCTAGAAGAAAATGATCAGTATACTACTAGATACTGTGTATCCTAGTCAATTCTCTCCGAGCAACCAGCCTGGAGAGTTGTTCGGAGAGAGTTGACTAGGGTATAGATTATAAAGATATGACTTCATTAACTTATATGTAGCGAAGTATGACGATTTATTTAGTCTTCACTTGCTAAATACACATAAAAAAAGGATATTACCTTATCTTTTAAGTATTTAAAAGACGTTATGCATTAATAGTCGTACAAAATTTACTTTCGTGTAAGTTATATTAAAAGTTCGCATGTATAAGATACAGTTTTATGCTCTGTCATGGGTTCAAGACATCTCAGACTTATGGATTTTTTTGAAAAGATCCTACATAAACGATTATATTTCTCAATCGGTTACAGATTTCGTATCAAAAGCAGAAAGGAACAAAACTCAATGCACAGAACCTAGAGTTTGACACGCATTAAAAGTTTCTGCATACGATAATATACAAAAGTTATAAGTGATTGCGCATACATTAATTTTGTAGTTATTCATTGGTTTGTACTTTTTTATCCATCTTTTTGTTTTTATACTCTTTCTGTTAATTGAATTTCATTTTCGACCACGATATTTATGATAGTCATGGTCAATTCTCAATGATATTCATTAGTTTATCTGTGTTATATACGGTTAACAGATCAGAAAATATTTGAAAATTTAAGTTTAGAATAAATAAGAAACACAAAAACTATTGCCGCCAAGGACAATCAAGTCAATTGCTTCATGATTTTGGTAAATTAGCCGGCGGACATTGGAAAACAAAGTCGGATGGAAACAAATCGGTTGCATGCTGCCGCAAGATTTTATAGACTTGTCGAATAGTACTTGCCTTAACATCGGTTACTTGTTCGATATCATTTAATGTTTTTCGTTCATCCATCGCCAAGCAAGCTAAATAGATTGATGCAGCTGCGACCGAACTAGGAGCTCGACTTTGAATATCACAAAGGTCTTTTGCGCGCTCGACAATATAAATCGACGCTTTTCGAACGTGCATCTCTTGTGTAAGATCAAGATTAAGATTATTACAGAATCTTGGTATTAAATTCGTGACATCGATTCCTCTTAGTCGATTTGCTTCAGATAAACCTTTCATAATTTTACTGAAACATCGACCAATTTCCGTTTTCGACGCTTGAGAAACGGGATAGATTTCTTTCAATGAACGGTCAGCACCTTCCTTACGACAAGCTATATAAATGCATGCTGCAACGATCGCATTTTCACTATATCCTCGTACACATTTTGATTCATAGCATTGTCGAAAGCATTCACATGCATAATCGACAACTCTCTTTTGTAAATGTAGACGACCAGCCATCATACGAGTTACGTCATAACCTCTTTTCAATGCCCGATCAGTGGTCGATATCTGTCGTGGTTGTTGTATTGTATTTGTGCCTTTGCATGAAAACATCATTGTTTCAAGATTTGTGCTACCTAAAAGATGGTTTTCAGCGGCACCAACACGGGAATTTCCCCATGAATTAGTATCATCTGAGAATGTTCGCCATTCTGAGCTTACATCAATGATACGATCAGCTACGACGAGACCACATTCGGGACATATCATATCACCTGCTCGACTGTCTTCAATTAATGACGCTTCTGGATGAAAACGACAAGCAAGTTGACTGATGAATCGCGACATCTGTTTTTTTTCTTCCTCTTTTACTAAACAAAATGAATGTAGGAATGAAGACATTTTCTTTCCTACATAGCGGCGCACGGTATCTCTAACGTCTCGACACATACCACGTTTCTATCGTCTTACAAACATAAAGAATGTGTAAAGACAGAATGCAAACTTGTGCAGTCATCTACTAGGATTTTTTTTATTTATCAAATATCTAATTAGAGTTATTAGATAAATTTTTATCATTTCGAAAATAAATGATAAAATAAAATATAAATACTTGGGGCATACCAAAAGTAGTGAGAGTGACACTTTAATACTACATAGTAGGGTTTAAGAAATTTTCTTTCTATATAGTCCGATAGAGAAAAGAATGCTCTATCGTTCTATGCTATTTGATCATACTTCAACTAATATGATGATAATCAATTTTCGATAAGACTTTTTTTATTAGCATTTGTACTCGTGGTACTAGATCAGAACGTGTAAGACAAGTAAGTATTATTCTATCAATAGACGAAAGTATTCATTTCCACAACATGATTCATGCATGACGTTACATATATATTACGCAATTACAATTGAGACGATTATTGCACAATAACGAAGTTGATTGCGAAAGTTTTGTTCTTTCTTGTTCAAGAAGAATTAAGTGAATGTGAACGTTTTTACTTCACAGTAATATTCTAACCTATTTGCTATTTATCTAATGTACGTTTGAATAAAAAAGAGACATAATATGTGAAAAAGATCTTCATAAATGATGTGATGCACATAAAATAAGATTGATGATAAATTAGATATTTCTTATCACGATAAATGCCAGACGTTATCAGAAGATTTGATACCAAACATTCGAATAATTTTTATAATGTAAAACTCTGATTATTACTCGTAGTATCGGGTTGATGCAAAAGTCTCCGCCGATTTTTTTCTTCTTCTCGATTTCAAAATTTTATTGAAACAAAATATCATCAATCAGCAACATATACACCGTTGCTATCTACTACATACTCCCATCTTTTAGGCAAATCCAGAATACCATCTTCAAAGAATTTCTTAGACAAAGACAAAAAAAAAGTTTCGAGGTCCGATTTTAGGTGGGCTTGATCATCGAAGTCTTTTTTGACTAGATGATTGCGAAGCGATCGAAACAGGTGATAGTCGGATGGTGCCAAGTCTGGTGAATATGGTGGATGCGGTAAGACTTCCCACTCTAATTCTTCCAGCTTCTGGCGGGTAACTTTTGAGACATGAGGTTTGGCATTATCATGAAGCAATCGAATTTTTCGTCTTTCTGGACGATTTGCCTGTAGAGCAACCTTCAAATTTTGAAGTTGTTGGCAGTAAAGCTTCGAGTCTATCGTAGTATTATGAGGTAGAAGTTCCCAGTAGATTATCCCTTCGTAATCCCACCAAATCGATAGCATCACCTTTTTTGGGTGCAGATCGTTTTTTGGTTCTGGTTCGGGCAAATCTTCAGGATTCACCCACTGGCGCTTGCACGTATAGTTGACATATAGAACCTACTTTTCATCACCAGTGACTATCTGCTGAAGAAATCTATGTCGGTTGCGTTTTGACAACAAAGAATTGCATATGGTGATTCTCTGCTGTATGTTGTCCGAGGTTAGTTGATGTGGAACCCATCTTCCAAGTTTATTAACTTTTTCCATTTCATGCAAATGGTGATCGATGGTGGATTGCTTGCACCCGAGTATTGCTGACAATTCACGGGTGGTTAATCGTGGATTGTCTTCGATCAGGACTTTTAATCGTTCAATATCAGATTCGATAGGACGTCCAGATCTCGGACGATCTTCTAATGACATGTCACCTTCACGAAATCTTTTAAACCAATCACGACACGTTCGATCAGCAACAACATCTTCACCAAGTGCAGCACATATATTGCGGGCAGCAGCACTTGCATTGTTCCCTAATTGGAACTCATACAAAATGCAGTGTCGGATATGAATAGGAATCTCTGACATGTTTTAATGAAGAATGTAAATAAACTGGGACATTTACCAATGTCATCCTATAGTACGACACAAGCGGTATCATATGTATGAAAATCACGAATGCATAGTTGCGCTAGAGGGCTTTAAGAAAATTTTTAAAAAATCGGCGGAGACTTTTGCATCAACCCAATAGCGATTATACAACCGTTGGAAAAAAAAACACATTCTTCTATGAACAAATTTGACGCAAAAGTTCATGAGTTAAATTTTTCGCTGACGATAGCGACTATCAGTGAACAATAAAGATATATATGTGCATCTATTTCCCTATTAATACTATTCACAAATTGAGAAAAACATGAGTCAATCTAACGTTAATTTTCTTGACTTGCCAAATGAAATATTATTAAATATTTTGAATAAATTAGATAATATTTGTGTTTTGTACTCGTTATTCGGTGTTATCAATGAACGATTTGACAGCCTATTACAAGACAATATTTTTACAAACACACTGAATTTATTCAAAAATTCATCTGATGATAAATCTTCACTTGTCAATCCAATACTTGATCGATTTTGTATTTCAATATTACCAAGAATCCATTACAATGTAAAACATCTCACTCTTAAGTCAATGTCTATGGAACGTATTCTTCTGACTGGTACCTTTCCAAATTTAACGCATCTCAATGTGTGTAACTTTGGACGACATATTGCTTCAAATTATTTTACAAGTAAATACTTAACATATTTATATACGAAAATAAAAAAAAGATATAAAACTATTAAAATAAAATCTAACGAATGATTTAATTGTTTCTTTTTTGCTTAGATGAGTCAATCTTTCAAGATATTTTCAAACATCAAATAACAGAACTTATTCTTGAAAATAGCGATCAGGGCAGAGGAGAATATCATTAGAAGAATATACTGAAAATATTTATGCACGAATCTTGACTTTCTTCGAAAACTTAACACATTTAAGTATTGTTAAATCATCATCCATTAGTAAATATCCACCTTTGTCAATATGGCATTTACCATCAATCTTTTTTTCTTCTATTCTTACAAAATTAAATATCAATGTACGACGTATACATGATTGTTTTCATTTACTTGATGGTCGTCTTAAACAATTGAAAATACTCATTGTTGAAGTTGGGTATATCGACAATAATTTACAGATTATTCATAATACCGTAAGTTACCAGTAAATCGAGAGTATATCGTTCTAGATTACTTTATCAACTATTCCTATTGTAAATAATTAATTGAATGATTGAAGACAAATCTATCAGAGTTTTTTCTATGTAAAATATAGAATTGATCAAAATTGTATAGAGAATGTTTTCTTTTAACAGATATATGAGGATTTTTGTTTTAAGATGTTCGAATCATTCTATTAATAATTATCGTACGTAGATATTACCGTGAATGGTTAGAAAAATAAATTTTTATTCTAAAATATATGTTTCATGTTTCATGTTAAATAATAAGAAATATTTTAAATAGTTGAAAATGATTTATAATTTATATCATTCGTTCTTGTGAACTTTTTCCTGAAACTAGTCGATAAATATGTGTCATTTTATCTTTTAGAATGAGCTACCTAACTTGAAATCTTTTTCATTAACATATTATTATGAAACTAATGCATATGACAATCAGGTGATACCTCTACTTCGTCGTATGACACATTTGGAAAAATTAACTTTGTATATTCGTATTGATGATCGATCTAGATTTGTTGATGGTACTAATCTCCATAAGAATATTCTTATTCATATGCCACGACTTCATACATTCACTTTTTATATTTCTACTGATATTCAATTCGATGATTCAGTTGATCATCTATCTGATAATGATATTCAACAAACGTTTTACAAATATAGGTTATCATAAAATAGCCTGTAGTGTCAATTATTATTATCGTAAATACAGGGCAGTATGTAATGTTTTCTCACTTCCATTCACATTTAATCGTCTCGAAAAGATTTCCAATAAATTTCCAAATATAATATTCAATACTGTTACTTATCTGATAGTAGGTGATGTTATTCCATTCAAATATGAATTCTTCATTCAAATTGCCAAAGCTTTTCCATCATTAAAGGATTTATGTATTATCAATGTTACTTCACCATTATTGAATTTTGATTCATATACAGCTGATAATATTGATTCATGTTCATCTATTCAATATCTGAATCTTACTTCACTTACTGTTAATTATGTTGATAATTATTATATTGAACAATTTTTACTTGATACAAAGACATATGCACCTCATTTAACTGAAATCAAAGTACATTTTGATCGACTGCAAGCTGTAACAGAGAATTTTACAAGAGATGCAACACGATACAATTGTCGCAATATAAAACGATTCATTTTTGAAAAGACAATTAATTATTCAAACGAATTGTATCTCTATTTTCCTTCACTTCTAGATTGAAATTTGTGTAAGTAAAAATGAATAGTGTAGGAATTTTGTTGCTGTATCTTTCTCAAAATAAATAAAGAATGAAGTTCGATAATTGTGTATGATATAATCTGAATATCAGAAAATGTTGATTCATCATCATGAATCTATGGACTATAGTTATTTGAGTACTTGGAAGTGAATTTAATAAGTAGATTTATTTTGTCGAAAAATGTCTTATATTTTTTTACTTTTCTTCCCGTAATCCAAAGTACAAAAATTTATTTTTTTTAATAAACTGAATGATATAATAATATCTGCATGTTAGTTATATCTTTGATCGAAGTCAATTCCTTTTTTCTTTTCTATGATATAGATATATGTGTGTGAAATGGTATGGGCGAACACTTGATTTGAAATAAATCTATGTTTATCGTTAAGTTGAACTCGCGTTTGTCCTTAGATTAAATCGAAATAAAAGAAGGACATAACATTCATTCCTCCTCTAGTTAAACGATACTAATTATTTATAAAAAAATTCTCTTAAAAAAATCTAGTTGTTTTCTTTTTGTATCTTCATTCATCTTATAAAGTTAGACAAACACAGAAGAAAATACAAGAAG